GGTGACTCTTGCTAGGACAGATGATTCCCACAAGGACGAGCCAACGCCCACTGGTGTCACATGTTATGTAACTCTACTTTCAAAATCAGAGAGTTGGTACTATTGACATCTGGAGATTTTAATCTGGTTTGAATAGCCTTGACCTGGATTCCTTGGGGTTTCTCCCCATTTCCCTGTGTACAGTTTGTGCAAACCACACAGCTATCATGAGCTTAATTACTAAATTCCAAAGGAAAGGCAGTGGTGACTCCTGTCTGTCATCCTAGCCCTCAGGAAAGAGGCTCTAGAATTGGATGCCAATCTTGGCAACATAATAAATTCCAGGCCATCCTGAGCTACAGGAGACCCTATCTTGAACAAAAATCACCAAATAAGGAAACTTAGCAACCCCTTGAAGAATAGAAAGGGGATTCCAACCCCACCACATCCCTCAGAACTTCAGCTTGTTTAAAAAGGATTACAAAGTTACTACTGCATTTTAGAAAGAGCCAATGACTTGACAAAGTTTTTTTTGTCTTAAACAATTCATATGTGAAAAGGAATAAGACCTACTAGCAGTGAGTCTGGCTCGGTGCTATATGTTCACCATCTCAATAGTACTGTGGCTGAGGCGGGTAGATTGCCATGAGTTCCAGGCCAGTTTGGGCCATAGAGTGAGATCTTGTCTCAGAAAATCAAAAGTAATACATGCGAATACATAGACACACCTGAACCAACCCCTCAGCCCACTGAGGTCTGAAGAATGGCATTGAGGGACTGTGGAAGTGGAATAGCAATTGATAGCACTTGCTGTGTAGATGGCAGTTTCTGTCCTGTCTGGTCCCGCAGCCATTCAGTCCGAAAGAAACACACACAGGCTTATAGTAACCATAAACTGTTTGGCCAATTAGCTCAGGGTTATTATTAACTAGGTCTTACAACTTAAATTAATTCATAATTCTTACCTATGTTTAGTCATGTAACTTGGTACCTTTTCCAGTAAGGCATTCTCATCTTGCTTCCTCTGCATCTGTATGATAACAGCATCTCTGCCTTTCCTCTTCCCAGAATCCTCCTTCTTCTTGTCTTGTTCCCCTGCCTATACTTCCTGCCTGACCCATCAGCGTTTTATTAAACCAATACAAGTGACAACTCTTTAAATGTACAAGAGTATTATCCCACAGCAGATAAGTAAAGGGGAGATGATGTGGGATGCCCTTCTGTATATGTGTTGCTTTTATTGGTTGATGAATAAAGCTGTTCAGCTAATGGCTTAGCAGAGTGAAGCCAGGCAGGGAATCCAAGCAGAGATATATATAAAGAGAGTAGGCAGAGTCAAAGAGACACCGTGTAGCTGCTGAAAGAGAAAGACACCAGAACATTACCAGTAAGCCACATCCTCATGGTGATACATAGATGAATAAATACATGGGTTAATTTAAGAGGAAAGAGCTAGTTAGGAATATTACTGAACCATTGACCAAACAGTGTTGTAATTAACATAGTTTCTGCATGATTATTTGGGTCTGAGAAGCCAGGAAATGAAAGTGCAGTCTCTGTCTAAAAATGGTGCCCAACCTGGAGCTCGGACCCATGACCCTGAGATTAAGAGTCTCATGCTCTACTGACTGAGGTAGCTGAATGGCTACAGAACTGGGTGGGACAGAAACTTCTGTCTACAAATGACACTGAAATGTTTGGCAAGAATTTCCATATAAAGCCTGAGAAAGCTTTAGAAAGAGGATTCTAGACAGACAAGAACTGAGACAAGTGCAGCTTCTTGGTAAGAGACGTGGTTCCTATAAAAGAGGTTTCCTGACTCAGGATTAGCAGCAAAAATCTTGCAGCTCTTTTAAGAGGCTTTGCCACCAAACACTTAAATGGTGTTTATGAGAAGCTGACGGCATGCTTCTTGGTGGTGGCATGGTTGTAGAAACTCCAGAGTTGTAGCAATACACATGGCTCCCACCTGTACCTCTGCCATAAAGCTAGATTTTCAGGAAGCTAAGGATGGGACAGAGTCAGCCACCAAAGTCACAGCTTTAATCCCAGCCATATTGCTTAGCAGATTAAAGACAGAGATGTACAGTGAAGACAGATTCAAATGAAAAAGATAGAGATGTACAGTAAAGACAGATTCAAATGAAAAAAGCCTCTAAACTGTTTACAGTGTGTTCAAAAATAAACATAGGTTGGGAGAGAAAAGAAACTGGATATTTAGAAAGCACTTAGGGGAAAAAAAGAAATAGAATAGTAGGTATGGTGACATTCGGGAGGCAGAGGGAAGCAGATCTCTGTGAGTTTGAGACCAGCCTGGTCTACAGTGAGTTCCAGGACAGCCAGGGCTACTCTGAGAAACTCTGTCTCAAAAAATAAAAGAAAAAAAAATGTGTACCACCAAGCCCTGGCTTGTTTTTCTTTTAACATTTTTTTTAAAAAAAATATTTCATTCTTTAACAGTTTCATACATTTATACAAAGTATTTTACTCAGATCCATTCCTGTTCCTCCCAGCCCTCCTGGCAAAGCCTCTTCCCACCTTCATGTCCTTTTTCTGCAACCCTCTGAGTCCAGTAACTGCTGCCTGCTGAAATACTGACTGATCTTATCTGGGCAGCCACAGTTGCTGTGAGGTTGCGAGTGTGCACCGGACATTTCACAGCCTTCATCCCACCCTTCAGCTCTCACAGTCTTTCTGCCCCCTCTTCTGTGATGTCCCCCAGGCTTGAGGGCAGTGGTGCTGTTAGTGTCCCACGTAGGACTGAGCACTTGCACCTGCCTCTTCCTCTGCGTGCTCACTCTTGAGTCTCTGCAAACAGGCAGCAACATTCCAAAGGCAGTTTCACATCCAGCGAGCAATGAGAGGTAGGTGTCTCTCCTTGGTCTGTGACTTCCAAAAGTGGGCTCTGGCTCAGCTTACAGCACCAAGCATAATTCCTTCCTGTAGGATAGCATTGACTCCAACCAGAAGGCTGCTGGCTGCCCTTTCGGGCCACTATTGCACCAGGGTTGCTATCCTGCCATTCGTCAGAGTGGCAGTAGCCAGGGTCCACAACCAGATAACACAACTGATACCTTTTCTTTCCCAACAGACTGAATGTCACTTCTGGCACTATGAAATCAAGCCAGCAGGGAGGAAGGCCCCAGTTCCAGCTTGGCTTCTCTATGCCCTGCAACCAAAGTGACTGGTGTCTTCAGCAACTAAGTCTTGTCACCTGCTTATGGTAGGCAACTAAGAGCCATGGCAAGAGCCTGTGTTGTTGTTGTTGTTGTTTTCTTTTTTCAAGACAGGGCTTCTCTGTGTAGCTTTGGAGCCTGTTCTGGAAATAGCTCTGTAGACCAGGCAGGCCTCGAACTTACAGAGATCCGCCTGCCTCTGTCTCCTGAGTGCTGGGATTAAAGGTGAATGCCATCACCGCCCGCTGAAACTGTGTTGTTTGAAGAGATCTGGGGAGAAACATTTCTGGGCCTTTGGTGTTCTTTTCTGGCCTTTGTGCAAATTTAAATGCAGGTCCCCAATTCCCAAAATTTACCTTCTTCAGGGAACACTGTGGCTGCTCAGGAAATCTTTCAGGAATCCTGGGATCCACCAGAGATTCCCATTTTATAGGCAAAGAAACTGAGACTCAGGAATTCAACAGCTTGCCTCAGTTTATTATTTGATAGCTTTTTGACCTAGAATAAATTCCTTAACATCTCTGGGCTTTAGTTTCCTTTTAGTAACTCGGAAATGAAGTAGTTGCTATTTCTTGGGGCTGTTAAGGAGCTTAAATAAGATAATATGTGACTGGGGCACGGCTCAGAGTTAGAGGCCCCATTAAGAATCCCCCAGTAAGGAGCTGGGGGGCATAGTCAGGGGTAGAACTCCACCTAGAATCTCCCAGTGAGGGGCTGGGGGCAAGGCTTGATGCTGGGAATTGAGATGAACAACTATGTAGAATGTCTCCCTATGAAGCTCTTGTTCTACAACTACAAAAGACAAAACCAAAAAGATCAATTAGTACAACTACTTTAAGTAATGTTTATGTCAAGTGACAACTAATTGGGAAAATCCCAGAATGTGTTTCTGGTGGCAGCAAAGGCAGTGAGTTACTTTATACACGTCTCAGCCTGATATAGGTGTGTTGGGAAAACTCAGCAAAGAGCAGAGGGAGTCCCATCTGGAAGGAAGTGTGGCTACTGGAGCCAAGCGAGTGTGCAAGGAGGACTAAGGTGGGTGCAGAGGTGACTGACAAGGAGCCGTGATGTCACGGACTCGATGGCTCAGTTTCACCTCTTCCGAGGACCTCCTAGCACAGGCTAGGCTGGAGGATAACGGAGAAGCAGGTGTGGCCGTGGAGGGTGTTTACGGGATTTGGGTTTGGAGGAGGCAGCTAGAGGTAGAGGGGGACAGTATTTCTCAAGGTGGAGGACCGTGTATCTCACAGCAAAAACTGTTCACCTGGAATGGGACAATAAAAGAGACGTTTCTAGAGAGCCGGGAACCCTCCAAGAATGAATACAGCTATAACGAACATTCGGTGCCTCCGGCAAGACTCAGGGCTCCTGCTCTGGGGTCCTTGGAGGCCTACAGGAGTCCTACCTCAGCGACCCCACTCCTCAAGCTGTTTTGTTCAATACATTTCTCAGTGAGTCCTAGGCTCGTCTTCTTGTATAAATCCCGCCCCCTTTTTCCGAGAGCCTATACCCGGGAGTCATGGCCGAAAGCACCTGGGAATTGTAGTTCCTAAGACCAGGCGAGCACATGACAAGCACCCAGGGATTGCTGCGGGAGCAACGGTAGCGGGCAGATGTCTCACCTGAGGCATCACCTCATGCCACCGTGCGCTACTTCCCGCGTGGGCACCGCGGAACTACAAAGCCCCTTGCGGGAACCTGCAGGAGACCGAGACGCGGGCTTTCCCTATTCTTTCGAACGCTAACTTCCGATGAAGACCCCGCCCACATATTTACCCCCGCCTTCTGCGGCCCCACCCACTCCGTTCTCGGAAGTGGACGAGCGAGCGACTCCCGCAGAGCACGCCGGGAATTGTAGTTCCGGAAGCCAAGCTGGGGCGCGCGGAGGTATGTGGCCCCGAGTGCTGCTTGGGGAGGCCCGGGCGGCTGCTGGCGGATACGGTGCTGTCTTGTCTCGCTTCGCCGTGCGTTTCTCTCCGCCATGGACTGCTGGAAGCGGCTTACCCCTGCGGAGGAGCCTGCATGGAACTGCTCCGCGAGCTTTCCCGCTCATCCCCATAGTGGTGGAACAGACGGTACGGGGTCCTGGTAGGGACATTGCGTGGAGACTTGAGGAGGCAGGGCGGCGTGCAATGGTCGCTAACCTTTCACCTCTGTTTTTTTTCCTACCAGGGTCGAGGCGAGCGCGCTTATGACATATACTCGAGGCTCTTGCGGGAACGCATCGTGTGCGTCATGGGCCCGGTGAGCGACTCCGGTGCGCTCTGGAGACACCTAGCTGTCTCTCCAAACTTTCTCCCCTTGTCAAGCTCTGTGCCTCACCCTGCTCGGTCATCCCTGGTGACCTCCTAGACCCTAGTCCCTGACCTTAAACATTCTTTCTCTTTTTAACCAAACTCTTGCTGTGTAGTCCAGACTAGCTTCCACCTTGCCATCCTGCCTCAGCTTCCCAAATGTTGGGTGTCAAGTGCATACACCACCGTAGTCTGCTGTTGCCAGCTATTCTTTGTTTTGTTGTCTTCTGCGGCAGGGTCTCACGCGGGCCTTGAAGTCCCTATGTAGCTGATGGTGACGTTTATTGGGGTGAAGGTGTACCACCATACCAGGTTCATGCCATGCTGGGACTGGAACTCAGTGCCAGCGTTCTACCCTCTGAGCCACAGCCCCAGTTAGATAGTTGAGTTTTGAGACAGGGTCGTTTCTAGCCCAGGCTGACTTTGAACCCTGATCCTCTTGCCTCCAACTCCCAAGTGCTGGGATGAATGGTATGTACCACCACACCAGGTCTAGGCAGTGCTTAGACCTAGGGCCTTGAGCATGCTAGGTGAGCACTCGACCCACTAAACTACATCCCAGCCCTGTCCTCAGCTATTGCCTTCCAGTGTCTGGGGCTCCCTGGCCACCCCCTTTGTATGGTGGCTCATTAAGCCCACCTTCAGTCTGGGGACAACTCTGCCCTCCCCACCTACAGATTGACGACAGTGTCGCCAGCCTGGTCATCGCTCAGCTGCTGTTCTTACAGTCTGAAAGCAACAAGAAACCCATCCACATGTACATCAACAGCCCGGGTGAGCGGGGCCTGACCTGGTTGGGGCTCGGGAATATCTACTCTCCGGAGAATAGGTGTGAAACAGCTTTCTGCAGAATCTAACATTTAAACTCGCTCCGAGCATGGCAGGGTGGTGCACTTGGCAGGCAAAGGCGGACAGATCTCTGAGTTCTAGGACAGCCAGGGCTACCCAGAAATTTAGTATGTTTAGCCAGGTGTGGTGGTGTACACTTTTAATTCCAGTATTCAGGAGGCAGGTTTAGGCAGATCTCTAGAGGCCTGGTCTACAGAGTGAATTCTGAGACAGTCAGAACTACACAGAGAAACCCTGTCTTAAAAAACAAAAACAAAGAACTAACTAATTAATTAAAATCGCTCCAAAAGGGCTGTCACTGGCCTGGAACTTTCCAAGTATGCTGGTGTGGGTGGAGAGTGAGCCCCAAAGGATCCTTGTGTCTCCGCCTCCCCAGTGCTGGGATTACAGGCATGTGCTGCTGTGTGTATTTTGTGGGTGCTGGGGATCTGAACCCACTTCCACATGCTTGTGTAGTGGGAATTCTGCCACCTATAACCCGATTCCCTGTTGTCTTCTCATTTCAGCTGGGTTGGCAGGCATGAGTCTCCACCCTCTGCAGAAATAGCTGATTTTTTTGGTTTGTTTGTTTGTTTTGTGTTTTTGAGACAGGGTTTCTCTGTAGCCTTGGAGCCTGTCCTGGAACTAGCTCATAGACCAGGCTGGCCTCAAACTTACAGAGATCCACCTGCTTCTGCCTCCCGAGTGCTGGGATTAAAGACGTGCACCACCACTGCCCGGCAAAATAGTTGATTTTTAAGAGAAATGTTAGGAGTGTATTTATTTATGTGGGTATGTGGGTAGATGGATGGGTGTGTGCATGTCGGAGGACAGAAGACAGCCTGTGGGGGTCACTTCTCCCCTCCCACCATGTGGATTCCAGGCTGTCAGACTGGGTGGGGAGCGCCCTTACCGCTGATCCTTCTCAACGGCCCAGGGATGGACAGTGTTGATTGGGCACTTGTCAGGCCAGGGGCCTCTCACGGAATTTTCTATGTAGTGAGTGTGCTCATTTCTCAACAAAGTTTTGAGTGGAAGGTGAGGATGCTCACCTCCGATTTACGAAAGGCAGGTATGCCTTAGAGAGCGGGAGTGGCTGACCCTACATGGTGACATATGACCTACCAGAGTTCATAGCCAGGAGGTGGCTGGCAGAGCCGTGTGTGTGTGTGTGTGTGTGTGTGTGTTGTCCCGTGTACATATGTGCTCATAGCTGATTCTGAAAGAAGGAGTCTCCTTGTGACCCCCTCCTCTCATTCCTGTCACCCACCCACCCCTCATGATGCTTGTACTCATAGTTTGCTGGAACAGAACTGGGGTGGAGGAGGATCCTACTGGACCCTGACTTGCTCACTGCCTGCAGGTGGCGTGGTGACTGCGGGCCTGGCCATCTACGACACAATGCAATATATTCTGAACCCCATCTGCACATGGTGTGTAGGACAGGCTGCCAGCATGGGCTCCCTGCTCCTCGCTGCTGGCAGCCCAGGCATGCGCCACTCACTGCCCAATTCCAGAATCATGATCCACCAGCCCTCTGGAGGTGCCAGGGTGAGTACAGGTCTTGCAGGGATGTGGGAGGAAGTTAGGCCGCTGGTCTTTACTTGTTGAGACAGCATCTCACCTTGCAGCCTTAGCTGTCCTGGAGCACACTGTGTAGACCAGGCTGGCCTCTAGCCTACTGAGATCTGTCTGCCTCCTGCCTCTGCTTTGCGATAGGTGTTTTCATGACTTGGGAGGTGCTCCTTGGGTAGAATGCTTGCTCCGCAGCGGCAAGACCCTGGGTCCCATCTCCGCCACCAGAGGAAAGAATAACTAACAAAAGCAGAGCCAGACATGGTGGGCAAGCACCCTCAGTTCTAGAACTCAGGAGGCAGAAGCAGACCGATTGCTTGAGTTTGAGGCCAGCCTGGTCTACAGAAAGAGTTCCAGGATAGCTAGAGCTATGCAGAGAAACCGTGTCACAAAGCAAAAGAAAAGTAAAATAAAATAAAATTGATCAATGGGAAGGAAATAGGCTCGGAAACTGCAGGGTTGAAGCACAGGAATGGCTCCCTCACTCTGGCATCCCACTGGGGGGACCCTCCAGTTCTGGGCTTATCTTCGTCCTGCATTTACCACTCGCTCCTCAGGGCCAAGCCACAGACATCGCCATCCAGGCAGAGGAGATCATGAAGCTGAAAAAGCAGCTGTACAACATCTACGCCAAACACACGAAGCAGAGCCTGCAGGTGATCGGTGAGCACCCAGCCCATACAGCACTTCCATGTACTGCATTGTCCTGAGGCAGGGGATGGGGGTGTGCCTTAAGTGTAGATTTTATGCCAAGTAGTGGTGGTACACGCCCTTAATTCCAGCACTCGGGAGGCAGAGGCCGGCAGATCTCTTGATTTTGAGACCAGCCTGGTCTACAAAGCAAGTTCCAGGACAGCCAGAGCTACACAGAGAAACCTGTCTCAAAAATCAAAACAAAACAAATATACATTTCTTTCCCTTTTTTAATTCATTTTTTTATTATATGCATATGAGTGTTTTTCTAGCATGTATGTCTGTAAATTGCATGTGTGCCTGGTGCCTGTGGAGGTCAGAAGAGGGTGTCAGATCCCCTTGAACTAGAGTTATATAAACAGTTGTGAGCCACTGTGTGGGTGCTGAGGATTGAACCTGGGTCCTCTGCCAGAACAAGTTCTCTTGGTCCATCCGAGCCAATTTTCCAGCTATCAGCCACGAAAACTGGCTCCGTTGGTCCGTGATGTTTTGACAGAGTATATTTGGGTGGGGGGAGGTAGCAAGGGATACTGGTGCCAGCAGGGTTTCCCTAGTGCCTGTGACATTCGTTTTTTAAAAAAAAATAGTTGATTTGGGAAGCATGTGCCTGCCACAGTGGATGTGTGGCGGTCAGAGGACAGTTTGTAGGGATCAGCTCTCTCCTGATACTTTGTGCATTGTGGTGGTTGAATGCTAGCTCATCGGAATTGGTGGCAAGCACCTCTTCCTGCCAAGCCGTGTGGCTGGCCCGCATGCCATTCTTTGATCTGACTTGTTGCTGGTGTGTGTGGGCATGCATGTACTGTGACATGTAGGGGCCAGAGAAAAGTGTTCAGGAGGCGATTCTCTTCACCGTGGTAGTGCACGCCTGTCGTTCCCAGCACTTGGCAGGTATAGGCAGGAGAATCGGGAGTCATACCTTTGAGGCCAGCCTGGGCTACATGAGCTCCTGCCTGAAAACAGGTATTTTTACTGCTGGGGAAACTGAGACACAGAGAAGTTCCAAGCTCCATGAGAAACAATTGTCAGAGTGCGTGTCTTAACTCAGGAAGCCAGAACACGATGCTGTGGGACTAGAAGATAAAATGCTAGGAATGTGTATCTGAGTCCTGGGAGAGGACGGTCAGGGACAGCTGGTGCCTGCTGGAATTACAGGTGGTTCTGGGGACGGAACCGGAGCATAGAGCAGGCTAGACCAGTGCTCTACCAATTGACTCTTTTTTTTTTTTAAGACATGATCTTGGTCTGTATCCCTGGCTGACCTTGAACTTGGGATCCTCCTGCTCTAGCCTCTCAAGTGATTTTCTCTTTTAGTAACAGCACCAATCCTGTGGTCCCATCCTCACAACTTCATAAAACATCTGCTACTGGTGGGGACTTCAACCTAGGTACCTGGGGAAAGCATCCCAGATCTCTGCTTACTCACATGTACTGCTTCCTGCCAGAGTCGGCCATGGAGAGGGATCGCTACATGAGCCCCATGGAGGCCCAAGAGTTTGGCATCTTGGACAAGGTCCTGGTGCACCCACCTCAGGATGGGGAGGATGAGCCAGAACTGGTACAAAAGGAGACTCCCACAGCACCGGCCGACTCTCCTGCCCCAGCGAGTACCTAGGGCCTGACCTCATCGCTACTCCGTCTGCTGAGCCCAGAGGTACCCTGGAGAAGATGTGGATTGAGGCTGCCCTCCGGCCTGAGACACTGTGACTTTACATTAAACCTTTGTGGTTTTTGTCCCATGTCTGAGGCACCTTCCATTACCTCTCCAAGACACCATGCCCCTTTCACTTTGACTCCACGACAAACCACTGTTTGTTTGTTTGTTTGTCAAGATAGGGTTTGTCTGTGTGAACCTAACTGGGTCTCAAACTCATAGATCCTCCTGCCTCTGCCTCCCGAATGCTGGGATTAAAGGTGTGCTCCACCATGCATGGCTGTTAGCAAGCTTTTAAACCATATACTAGCCCAAAGCCAGTAGTTAGAACTATGGTTTTATGCATTTACTTTTGATGATGTGTGGGTTTGTGTACCTCAGTGCAGTACCCCTGGTGGCCAGAAGAGGGTATTGGGTTCCCTGGAGTTTCCCTGTGGGTGCTGGAACTTGAGAGAAGTACATCTTACCTGCTGAGCCTGTCTCTGCTCCTGAAGAGGGTAGGTAGTGTGGGCTGGAGGTCCACCAGAAGTGACATGGAGGAGCCACCATTCTCAGACCCATGAAACCTGGCTCTTTGCCATAGGATCCAAAAGCAGGCTGGAGCCAGAAAGAATGGTAGGGGAAATTTTTGTGAACTTTTTACTAAAGGGAAGCAGAGGATTGGATATGTAGATATAGCTAAAAAGGAAATTGGACACGTCTATTTGTGGAAGAGGGGGCAGGTGCCAGTGTTCTGTGGAGATCTGGAGTGACTACTTCCACTGAGGCGGGGGGAGGGGGGGGGCAGGTCCTGGGGTTCACACCAACGTTACCAGGCTCCGTAGGGCGTGCCTTTACCTTCTGAGCCATCTTCGTGAGCCCAGGTGTTATTAGGGTGGTAGACAGTTTTTTGCTTTTAAATTCAGAACATTTGAGGTGTGGGTTGTATTAATGGGTCTTATTTGTTTGAACGTCTTAATTTTTTTATTGTTTGGACAGCATCTACTGTAATTCAGGTTGACCTCAAACTCAAGTCAAGGCAGACCTTGAAGTTGCCATTCCCCTTCTCTCCGCTAGGGTGTGCTGAATGGCACGCTGGTTGAACCTCTAACCTTGACTTTGTCCCACGTGACCCCAAGCCTCGGTTAGCCCAGATCAGCACCTCAAGCACGAACCTGAGAGATCAAATCAGGGAGGGCCCAGAGGCGGGACAGACTCTGAACGGTTTTGGGGCACAGCTAATAGATAGAACGAGCTCATGTCCAATAGCGTGCGGTAGGAGGCGGGCTCGGCGCTGGCCTCAACCAATGGTTTGCGGGAACATGGGCCGTCTTTTAAGCGGTCGCCTGAAGATGGCGGTCAGCGGGCGCCTGTCGATGCGGATGCTTTCTGGGTGCAGCTGGGTTCGCGGTTCGGACCCCGCCGTGCTGAGCCGCCTGCGCGATGAGGCCGTGGTGCGGCCTGGCTTTCTGAGCCAGGCAGAGGAGGACACGCTGACACGCGAACTGGAGCCCCAGCTGCGGCGCCGGCGCTATGAGTACGACCACTGGGACGCGGTGAGTGGGTGGAGCCCCAGGGGGCGGGGAGCTCTGAGGGCACGCCGGTGGGGCGGGGCCAGAGGGCCGGGGAGCGCTGGGAGCCCGCCCACGGGGCGGAGAACTAGGAATACAACCCCTGCTACCCGGTGAGGGGCGAGGCAGTCTAGTAGACGGTGACTAGTAGGGCGGGACTCGGTGGGCTCGGCCAGGCTAGGGCCGGTGTGGTTCGGCTGGGACTGGGGACCGGGACAAAGTTCGGAACACTAGGATCCGGACATCCTATGGAACAGGGCTGATCTTAATGCCAGAGCTGGGGAAGGGGGAAGGTCTGTAGCTGGGTGGTGTGGGGGAAGGGGCGTGAGCGGGAAGGTGAGCTGGGAGTGTTGAGCCCGGGGGATAGAGCAGTGCATGGGCTTGGAATCAGAGGGCCTTTGTGGGCATCAGGGAATGGGCCGCAAAGGCAAGATTCCTTTGTACATGAGGTCTTGCAGCTGATGGCTGTCAACAAGGTCAGAGGTAGAAAGAAGACTAGGGTGAGGGGGTGCCAGCAGTTGGGGTCTCTCTAGGGTCTTAGTGGGATTGAATTGAGCCTGGAGACTGAGACTCCGAATACTGGGACAGCACCAGGGACTAGGAATTGTAGCCTGGAGACCAGATGTGCAGTTGAGACCTCTCTGAGCCAGTTTAGGATTGTAAATTAAAGCAGGATAAACTATTTGTGGACTGTGCCTCATTTCCCTCTCCTGGAAGTTTCCAGTCATGACCTGAGCTCTCTGTGCAGGCCATCCATGGCTTCAGGGAGACCGAGAAATCCCGCTGGTCTGATGCAAGCCAGGCCATTCTGCATCGGGTCCAGGAGGCTGCCTTTGGCCCTGACCAGACCCTGCTATCCTTGGTTCACGTGTTGGACCTGGAACCTCGGGGCTACATCAAGCCCCATGTTGACAGTGTCAAGGTGGGCAGAAGGCAGTTCCTCAGAACTCCAGGATCTGGGTGGGCAGGAGGGCAGATCTGAGCCTGACCCCACCCCCACATACATACCACCCCCCTCTTCCAGTTCTGTGGATCCACCATTGCTGGACTCTCCCTGCTGTCCCCAAGTGTTATGAAGTTGGTGCACACCCAGGAACCTGAGCAGTGGCTGGAACTGCTGCTGGAACCAGGCTCCCTCTATATTCTAAGGTAATGCCTTGCCAGAAGCCCTTAGATGAGGTCAGGTGCTTCTAATACCTCTTGTCTGTGCTCTCACAGCAGAGGAAGCAGCCACCACCACTCGGAAAAACTACAGAAATGCTGAAAGGGCATGATTTCCCTCCACCCACACCAGTTGGCCCATCTCTTCTTGCAGGGGTTCAGCCCGATACGACTTCTCCCATGAGATCCTTCGAGATGAAGAATCATTTTTTGGGGAGCGACATGTCCCTCGGGGCCGACGCATCTCAGTGATTTGCCGCTCCCTCCCTGAGGGGATGGGGCCAGGAAGGCCAGAAAAGCCACCCCCAGCCAGCTGACCTCTACGCCTATCCTCTGGACTTGTGAATAAAGTTGAAAAAAGAATACTGTGGTTATCTTCAAATTACCATCTGCTAGGGCCCTCAAGAGACAAGTCTTAGAGTCCACTAGCCTGGAGGCTGCCAGTGTGTACTCCATCACACATACTCCTAAAGACATTAGAACATTCCTTTTATTGCATTAATTGCTGATTCCCAATCCCGGGTCACTTCCTTCTCCTCTTCACCTAGGCAGATTTCTAATAAACATTACCTGAGCCCTTCAAAGCCCAGGCTGCCTCATGCTTCTGATTCTGAGACACAGAGCTGGCCACCTTCAGCCACCACAGCCACAAGCAGCTGCTGAGAGCTGAGGCAGCTGCTGCCAGCGGTGATGGTCATCGAGGAAGGTCACATCAGCATAGCTAGTGGGCCGGCAGCAGGGTCGACCGTGGGCCCGACCCTGCCCGCGCAGTCGGGCCAGCACCAGGCTGTGCTGGGTACGGGCCTCTCGGGGACAGCTGCCAGCACAGTATCGGAAGATGACCTTCTCCTCTGAGGCATAGCCCAGGCCCAGCTCAGCCACGGGCAGTGTCAGGCTCCACAGCTGACATGGACCAGCCAGAGCTCTTGGAAGGCGGACACGGTTGTTACCTAGTGCAGGACAGAATGGGAATATGAGGCAAGAGGCCTTTAGAAGGAACTGGGGAGTCATGAGGCACCCCCAGGAATTCTTACCCTCCTGGGGCTTCCAGGTTCCTCCAGTCTTTGCCATCTCCTCAAACAAGATCTCTTCTGCTGTTGGAGCCCCTTGAGGATCAGATCCCCACCCTAGGCCCAGGTGCAAGGACAGGAGCAGCAGAAACATGAGTGTTAGTCTTCCTGCAGCCATTGTGACAGGGAGGTCCCAGGATGCTGAGACCCTGGTGCCCTCAATTTATTCACTGCCTGTCCTGGGGATTAAACTCACTGCCAGCACCATGGCTTAGGGAAGCCACTGGGGTTCCACCCACCTTGTCCCCACATCCTCACCCCTAAGAATTGATGGCTTACCCACCCAGACATTCCATAGATCCATTTCTGGATGCCCCTGATTTATGAGTGCCCCACCATCGGCCAGAAACAAAGCCCAGAGCTGGCCACCAATCTGTGTCCCCACCCCACCTGCTTTTGCTGGGAAGTGCCAGGACACCAGAAGAGAGTCTCTTGTAGGTCATGCACTAGAGTGTGGGCCATGTGGGGCCAATCAGGACCGGGAAGGGCTCATGGCAGATGGAAGAGTCAGTGGGCTTCCATCCATCTCGGATTCAGTTAGGATTAAGACATCGCATCCTTGTCTCCGGGCCTGGTTGAGCCAGCATCAAAACAGGAAAAGAGAGTCTAGGCGATAGCCAAGGGCTGGGACTCCCCTTCTTGGAAGGCCAACCTGAAAAGCCACAGCCATAGCCAATCTGGGTTTCAGAGCATCAGAGCCCAAGGGGAAGCTGGAGCTTGCTGGATTCCATCATTCCCAAGAAGGAACAGGTTTTGTTGATTTTTAAACCCTGAGACCCAGCAGTGGATATGGGCAACATCAAACCAAGAACGTTGGAGGCAAAGGAATCCAAGTGATGCTGGATGTGGCAGTGCATGCTGCCCACTCCTAGACACCTTGGCACTCAGGAGGCTGGGGCAGGATTGCTGCAGGCTGTAGCCGGCAGAAGCTAGAGTGAGGCCATCTCCCATGTTCGAAGCCCTGGGTTAAATCCAAAGCACAGCATAAAATGGCATGAGGTGCATGCCTGTCATCTCAGCACTGGGGAGGTTGAGGCAGGAGAAGCGCTAGTTCAAGGCCAGCCTGGGCTATGTGAGACTCTCTCAAAAAGGAAAACAAAAACAATGGCTTTCAAAACCAAAGGTCACTTGTATGTCATGCAGAATCAAGTTTGAAACAGGTCCCCTGAACACGAGGCTCTGCCCCTAACCACAAGGCCATGCATACCCTGCCTGCCCTGGGTGAATGGCACCTTAGACCCAGGTCCAAATGGCCAGAGAAAGTGGGGCAGGATGCTCAGTGAGCAGGGGCAGCTGAAGTGGGA